AAAAAAAAAAAAAAGGGGGGGGGGGAGAGAGGAAAAGGGAGAAGATAAGAATAAACACTGCACAGTCAAATATCAAATATAACAGAAAAACATCCAAACTTCACACCAAATGAAACAAACTCTTGTGTAAACTACTCCCCTAGAAACAAAAACTTGTTTATCACTAGTTTCTTCTCTATGCTCCCACAAAGCACAGCATTTATCCTGCCTCTTTCCTGCAAGAACAGGTCAGTACAGCACTGTCCGTGCCCACAGTCACATTATCAGTCTCATGCTAATAAAGATATCCATAACATTTACTTTTACACAGCTCCAGCACAGAATTTGTACTTATGGTCCTCTAAAACTCTTTAATGATTTACTGTTAATTACCTCACATCAGTCTAACCTGTAACACACGTGTGTGCAGAGCAAAAAGGTAAAAAGTTGGACCCAAACTTCAGAAGAGCCAAAACAGAGCTGCTTGAAACTTCAGACTTAACTCTCCCTGACTACAGTAACAAAGCCTCTCTCCAATACCAATCCAACTTTGTTTTAAAGTTACTTTTTTTAAACATCTGCTTGATCAGATCTGAACACCAGCCAGAAAGAATTTGTGCTCCCTGTTAACCAACAGTGCATTTTATCCACTGAGTCTTCTTGCAGTTAAATCACAGGCAGTGTTAATGAGAACTCCATTCAGTTTTCTTATTAAGTATTGTTGCAAAATAAGAGCCACATAGAATGTAAAAAGAAAACCTCAATCTCAGATTCCATCCAATAATGCTGTAGGACCTTTCCTACACTTTTCTTCCCCTTCCTTAACAAATAAGGGCCAATATGTTTTAATGTGCAGTAAATTTGCCATAGAGCCCCACTGCTTAAATGGTTACAAGTCCAGTTGTAGCCAACACAGTTTACACCAACAATTCCCATCACAATTCTTTCTTTATTCTCCCAGCTTTCCTCAGTAATACCTTTGGCCCTTCCACTTCTGATAAGCTGCTGTTCTCATAACCACCTATGGCTGCTGCAGGTTGAGTTCCTCTTTCTTATGCACAGGAAGGGAACTGTAGCTCAGTCACTGATCCAATTAATCCAAAATTGAATTTCAAATGTAAAATATCAGCTTGAGCTGAACACTTACCAACTGATCCAGGTAATCCTTGATTCTGGGCAGGTAGGTTAGAGAGCTGATGGCAACCAGACAACTGAGCACGAAGTCAAAGAGTTGGTAACAGAAAAATGGGATCAGCCAGCCTACACGATGCTAAGAAGCAGAAAAAAGCAGCAGCCTGTAAGTTATTTAGTTAAAAATTCAAGTAGCAAGTTTAAAACCATAGACTGCAAATATACTTACGGCAATGGCACCATACACCATCATTGCACTGATTGTGAACATGAGGAGGGAGATGGCAAACAAAACGCAGGCATTTTCTGCATTAAAAGAAGAACAATAAGCACCAGTCATTTCCTGGAGTTGTCTCACTGCAGCTGACAGGTACCCAAGCTCTGTTCATTACTATGATCTGTTTTCAACTGGTTCATCTGTGCAAACTAGCAGCAGCAGAATACAGTAGCTCAGATCTCACCTAACAGAAAAGGATCTGGTTCAATAAAACCAACAAGTATTTGGAAAAATCCCTCTGCCTTAATCAAAAGCCTGACTCAGACACACTAATTAGAAGCCTGACATAGTTTGATAGTAATGCACTATAATAATGCTGATTTGCAATATGTGTCAGTGCTAAAAGTATGTGAGTAAATAACTTTACAACTGGAAAGAATCTTAAGTGAAGCTAACACAGTATCAACCTTTATACTTGAAAATGGTTTGGTTATGTAATTCGGTCATTGGCAGTGGCAGCAGCACTACTCCTTCAGTAACACTAAGGAAAACAGGAAATCACTGTGTGGAAGGTATCCCATTATTTACAAGAAAAGGCAGTTGAACAAAAGCCAATTTGTAGCAAAATCCAGGACACTCATGGAAACTGCATGATAAAGATTCTCCTTGTGCATCACAGTTACTGATGACAGAAGCACAGCTGCTTTCCACAAGTTACATTAAACTTCTCTCCTTTCTTAAACACAGAGAAAGAAACCAGCTTGAGAGTCTACAGATGTGGTAAATAAATGTTTTTTAGCAATACTGAGGCCAAACTTTTGTAGTTCCCATGCTTGAAAAAGAGATGATCTGAGAGTACTTTCTAGTCTGAAATTCATTTCAAAAGACTCACTATAGAAGGACTTATGTATCTTATTCAGTACAAGAGAATATCTACACACATAGATGGCATGAAGAGCCCCCCCATGTCTGAAATGCACTGTGTTGATCAGACCTAAGTCTCAGCAGTCACTAACACGTGTGGTTTTCTTCTGAGAATTTATTACTCTCAGTATTCACATGCACAATAACATGTTTCTTCATGCACACAAAAACCTCTAGCCCAGATTACAACATGGGAAATAAGAATCTTTAAGTCAAAAGCGTATTAGACATTTTACACTAAAGAGCTGAAGAAAGAACCTTCAGCTTCAGAAGCATCTTTCATTAAGCTTAAAGCTACCAAGTACACCAACACTTGTTACAGAACATAGGACATTTTACAGACATCTGCTGTAATTTTACTTAATATCTTGGCTTTATGAGGCATTTGGTCCTTCCTCCCACTCTCATTTCATTGCTAATAAAAGTGAGTTACAGTCACAGGTCAGAACTGACAGATCCTCAACTCAGGTCATGAAGAATTAACACAAAATGCTCAAAACCCACATTTGTGCTGCACTATTTATTCTTTGCTGCACTGGATCCAGCTCTCCCTAAATTTTTTTTTCATATAACACAACAGACTAAGACAAGGCATGTTAGAAGTGCAATACTAAACATATTTCTGCACATTTAAGAACAAGAGAAACAAAGCATATGTACAAGTTTACAGATATGGTAGTTAAAAAGCTCAGTCATTACAGACAAAAAGCTTGACACAAATTACTCTTGTACACATCATACACTCAATGAGTAACTGAGTGAAAAGGTTTAATTCTTCTCGTGATGTTTTCTCGCTCATTTCTTCTGCAGGTCAAACTTAAAGAAACACTTGGGTTTTACTAAAATGCTTGGTGTCCCAATTATTCCACTTTTCTTAGAAATATGGCATGGTTTTCCTCTTAGTAAAGTGATACAGAATAGCTCTAAGCTCTTTCCTTAAATCTATGCAGATCAAGAAAAATTCTCAAAGAAAGTCTTCAAAACTATTTTCTGCTTTTTACTGAGACAGCAGATAGTAAATGTTCATGAAGAAAGCAAGTTATATATGTTCCACACATACTTAAAGATTCAAAGCATTAGATGGCCATGAAATCTTCAGAAATCTTATCATTTGAGATGCTTACGCATAATACGAAGTAAAAATAATATTCCATGAAGTTTTCTTTTATTCTTGTAGAAGAATTCAATCCCAGAATAATTTAGAAGAAGTTCAGAAAACAAGACGACCACATTTAAAAGCTCTATGCATATATTACACAGTAGTGTAAGGCAAATCCACCACAACACTGCTTTATTTTCTAATCAGCCAGTTGAGTTATGGACCTACCAGCCATTCTCTCGGAAGCATAATAATTTCCAATGACTTCATACTGGATATCAACTGTTGGCACTATATTTGGATGAGTCACTTCTACTGTCAACAAGATGCCCATCAGCAAGTTCACCACCTGAGAGAGATCACAGGTACCTCAAGGTTATTTGCATTGCAACAACTAGGATCATCTTAATGACACACTAATAATCCTTTATTTCAGTTAGAAATACATTCTTTGCTTTGCCTATATGTGGAAGAAAAAAAAAAAAAAGAGAGCCCAACTTACAATTAAATTTCAGGCTGATTTAGGTAAATCTCTACCAAAACAACCAGAAGAGCACCAGACACTTGCTAGGTTATCACACCAGAATAACTTCGCAAATTAAGGGGATGGATAACGGTCATAGGGATTCAAATGACATAATATTATTATAATAATAATAATTTAAAGAGCCCAGGAAGGTAAAGGTACAATAGACAACAAGAAACATTTGGAAAGTTCCCACTTTCTGAAAAAAATAAAGTTAATTTAACCCACAAATAAAGTACTAAGTTTCTGCCATGTTAACAGTTTTCATATGAACTGGGGAGAACCATCTCCCTCCTCTTTCTAGAGTATTTATTAAAACCTCATCAGTCCTTATCAGAAAGGCTACACAAACACAGGGGAAGTAAGAAATCCCTCACACAAAGACCGAACTCCAAAATGTGTAAGCTTTCAGCACAGGCTGTGTGCTCACCAGTCCTCCTCCCTCGCACTGCCACTGAAGACTATTCTGTTACCCAATTTTGGTACATACCAGAAATGTCTTCAGTAAGAGCTCAAAGAATCAAAAGTAGCTTAAGCCTCTGTAAAACTGCCTTCAGAGCATTTATAACCTATTCAAGACTTACAGGGGCATAGTTTCTGTTACTAATATCTGGAGAGACATGCCAAAGGTTGCGTAACAAAAAAAGCCATGATGGTATTTTCAAGCTGCAGACATTTTCCAATCAGTATTCAGTACAGTCACCACCACCAGCAGGATCTTTTACAATTAGCCTCAAAAGAAAAAAAAAAAAAAAAAATGGTTTGCTGTTTCTCACAGCTTAAGAATATTTGCCAGGTATTTCTTCTTTTACTGGCCTGGTTCCAGGAGTCAATAATAGTAATAGAGGCAAGTCTATGTACAATTATTGAAGCTTTCAGTAAGGAAAAAAGCTTTTAAACATTTAAAAGAAGTTTCAGCTTTTGAGACTCACGGTTCCTATAACTTTTTTACACCCTAATGGTTTTATTGTTGGGTTTTTTTTCCCCCCAAGGTTTAAAGATATCATGGTGATAAGCTTGCTTGCACTTTCTGCTAAAAAAAACCAAACCCTTTCATGAAATCAAACCTAGTCTCTTTGTAGAAATGTAGTCATCTCATCATATATTACACAAACTTATTAGAATTTCCAGGTACTTTGAGTCACTTGTATACGCCATTTTATGCCTTGGAACATAAAATACAGTACCTAGTACAGCTGGCAGTGAAGAAATAGGTTCAACCACCACTATCTTTAGCCTTGAAACAAGCATATTCTCCCCCTCGCAGGACACTGCAGGGTAAACTGTCAAGTTGCTCATCTACCACTTGTCTACACATTTTATTTTGCTTCACCACTGGTCACATGTACAGAACACAATAATCTCTCACCTGCTTAGTCCTTCTGTATTCTGGCTTTCTGCTCTCAGTGCATTTTCAACCCTTCCATTTCCTCCTCTCTCTGTAAGTGAACTGAGGGTATCAAACTGTATATTGGAAAATACCTTCCTGCTCTAACTTGTTTTAAGAGGCAGTTGAAACGTTGATCTCTACTTCACAAAGCACAAAAGGACACGTTCAATTATAGCTAAATTATTTATTGTTTACAGACAGTCATGAGTTTAACTGCCATGATGTTATCTAGCTATACAACCTGCTATCTGCCTCAAGAAAAAGAGCAAGCAACACTTGAGTTACTACAGAAGTATTTAAATGCCTTGGAATTTTGAGACTATAATACCACTTTTTTTTTTTTCATCCTACCCATGGTCCAAATTTAACATACAGAAGTTCTAGTAATTTCCCTAGTTCCTGAGCACAGTTTCAAAGTATTAAAGATTTATTTTCTCAACCTGAAACGATGCAAAAGGAAAACAGAAAATAGTCATTCAAAATACAATCTATTAAAATCAATGAGACTGAATAAAAATAGTAACTTAAAAACAAACAACTCGAACCTCTGCCAGTTAACACCCCAGGGTTTCCACTACTCCATCGTTGCTGTTTAGGAACCTGTCAAAGCACTGAGCAATTCCTGACATTCAACATATGGATTTCAATTAACAGCTACAGAGTCAGAGCCTGTATTTTAACTACTTCCATCCTTTCACAGAAGCTTGATAACAGCAAGACCACAAGGCTTGTTTCAACTTAACAATCAACGTAACAAGCAGCAAGAATATGGTCTGGACTGCAAAGCATCGCTAGAGCTTGAAAGTATATACCCACTGCAAATCAAATGTATGTTCACACATGTCTACATGGAAAAGAAGACAGAAAAAGATATAACTTGTGTATGCATCAGTTTAAGATGAGGATTGAAACCACCACCACTACCCTGACAAGACAGCACTCAGTAAATAGTGCAGTGTTCTGAGGTAACACCTCAAATCCCAGCAGGCCCCATCCTCATCCTTTTTGCCGGGAAATCAAAAGAATAAAAAAATTTGCAAAATGCATGTTCAAACTCTTATTCAAAAGGTGGTTCAATTAAGATGAAAGCCCCCTTAATGTAGTTTTGTAGTATTTTACTTTTTATATTTGGGATGGCTGAGTTTAACACAGTTTGGTGTAGCCTGTATCAAAATTTAAAAATCAAAAAGCTAACAATCATGTAGAAAGTCAGCATTTACTACACAATGGTAAGAGAAATATTAGCTCCCCATATGATTAGAATTCAAAAGACAGTGGGACTATTAAAGAGCATTAACTTTTTAATTAGCTAGTTTCACCTCCATAGGGTACACTTAATGCCTTATCATGTAAGTGCTTCATCTCTCAGGAGGCCTGAACATGAAGTCTAGGTTTCCCCAAGCACCCAGACTGACTTGGACAGAAACAAAAACTTCTACTTTTAATTTACTTATTTCCTTTTCTGAGGCAAAAGAGGGAAACTGCTTTGCACTACTGTACTTCTTCATTTTCCTCTCACTTTTCCAATATTTTTCTCCTAAACATGCTCTTAAAGAAAAAAAACCCAACATGGAGTTTCTGATTTGTTTTGGTTAATTATATTGAAATAATAAAAACTGAAAAATAATTATTTTAAATAGGGTCCTTCAGAGCCTCTAGCACTGTCAGTATTAGATTGGGACCAGTTATATTCCCTATTTCTGTAAGTCTTGTTTAGTGAACAAACGACTCCAGAGATCCCCCCTCCAGCCTCCTGCTGACCAGCAGCAGTTGCATCACTGCTTCCATCTCTGAAGTTTGCTGCCAGAACGCACGAGCCCCTCCCTCCAAAACAATGCTATTGCTTTTAGACTGTTTACTGAACCCTGATCCCATTTTTGCCAGTACAGTGTTCGTGATTCCGGTTTCTGGGAAGCACTGTGCCTAATATGAAAGTTTACAGGAAGAAACAAACTTCAAAGCCACACGTTTGCAGTTACGGAATGAGGAACATCGGAGGTTTCTTTCTCCTTCCTACACAGAACAGCAGTGGGTGTTGCAGAGCAAACCAAGCTCTATCAGTCCTGGAACTCATGTATGACTCCACTAGAAGTGTCCTTAACTCATCTCTTTGCAACTGCAACGTTATTTACTGATTACAAACAGCAGCAGCCCTCAGACTGAGGCGTGCATAAGACACTGATCACACAGCATCAACAGCAGACATTTTAGAAGATAATGTCCTTGTTTCCTCTGGACTTGCAGAAGCACTCAACGAGAACAGTGATACAACTGTTTTAGTGAGAAGAAAACTTAATTAGATGCAAGACTTAAGAGTATGCAAATAAGCAAGGAATAAGAAATGCCTAAAGAAATGGTTACATAAGATAACACGCATGTATTAAGTAGACAAACCCTTATCTTAGTAAAACATCTGGAGTAGATTGTTATGAGACTCCATTTTATGTTTGGTATCAAATTCCTTCAGGACTGCACTGCACAGGAACCCAGTCTCTTCAGTAAAGAGCAAGATTTTCAGTAACACAAACCTATTCTGGAACTAAACATTCTCCCCCCGCAAAAAGCTACCTCCTTCAAAAAAAACCCAACAAAATGAAAACAAAACAAAACAAAAAAAAACAACAACAACAAACAAACAACAACAAAAAAAACACCGCCAAACCCACAAACCAAAGAAACACTACCCTACAAAGAAAGTTATTATTACTTGTCCTACTGTAACTTACAAGCAGAGATTATTAAGTTGATTTAGAAATACTTCTCATGAGAATCTGAAAGACTAAGTTCGTGCTATATTTAAGCGGTGTATTAATTACATTTCTAAAGAGCCTGACATACTCTGGACCGTTTAATTTTTTTTAAAGTTTGGGAGCAGACAGATAAGTCTAATTTTACCTGTCCAAACTGTACTTTGCCTTCAAAAGGGTATAAATTATCGCTTAATTCTGATTTAAAGCATTAGGCAAGACCACATAAGACTTCATTGCAAGACCTTATTCCAGCTCAAACAGCCAACAGCTGTCAGACTGAAAAGTTCTCACCTTTTCCCAGGTCACAGCTGAGAAGTACTGAATAAAAATTTTCAATGCACAGTTCAACAAAGCGTTTAATACATTTAATATAAACTTTTTTTATAGAACAACACGGCTATGAAGCACTTCGTGTGCCCCCCGCTACCCTGAACTCAACTCTGTTTTTTTTCTCCAGCAGACTGACTCGTTGCACAGATCAAAGCCCGATCCGCCCCTGGAGCAGCAGCCTCATGGGCGCCCGGCGCACTTTTCACCGTCCCAGCACACATTCATCAAGAACAAAGAGGCGTTGCAGCCAGGCAACAAGGCGAAACACAAGCACAGTAAGAGAGGTAGCAGCTGGAAGTACTACCAGGTCTGTGGCCGCGGAAACACATCCCCGCCCTCCGCCCCCAGCAAGTTCCTGGGTTTACAGGCACTCCTGCGAACAGGAAATGAAGTGGGGAAGGCAGCGAGGTGCTTCTGCTCTGTAACAAGGATCACTGTCTCCCTACTGTTAACGATTTGTGCTTCTCCTTGAGGTACCAGAAGAACATTCTTGAATTCCACCCATCAGCACGGGGTAAAACTTCCGGACGTTTTGCAGGTTTCCAAAACAAGTCCAACTCTTAATATTACAATGGACATTTGTTTTTCTATTTTATATGAATTAATAATAGAACATAATCAGCACCATGACATTTTTTTTCCAATTTCTTCTTGAAAATGAAAGATGCATCCTTTTCCTAGAGTTTTGTTACATTTCCAACCCCCTACCTTCCTTTTTCTTCCAGTCCTCTCTCCAGCCACTTTTTTGTTTGACTTTACATTTTTTTGCCAATCGAAGGACCGAAATGCATAAAAATAAAGGATCTCCCCATACTCGCTGAAGATTAACCATAAACTCTCCAAACTCAAATCCCCATGCCTGTAAAAGCAGTTTCTGTGCATAGCTCTTTCACATCAACACGTTAAATTCAGCATTCTCTTTTTTTTTACAGTCTGGGGAAGCGTACAACAAACTACAGGCTTTGGTTAGAGCTTCAGGAGATCAGAAAACTTATGATTCAACTTTTGTAAACTACCCTCTCATTTTTACTGCCCACGAGGGTAAGAGGAAGGAAAGAAAGATGAAGAAATCACTTCAATAAAGGGGAACTCAAGTTCCCTGTAAGGGAAGTTAGGGCTCCAGGCTTTTAACTTTCAGGTACTGTTTTCACGTTTCTATTTCACCCTAGTTCAGAAGTCTCTCTAATATTTCACCTTCACCATCAGCACTCTCTCTCGGAAAGAAAGCACTCCCCAGCCACAAAGCAAAGAGGTGTTTTGGGAGCCAAATTTGTTTCCGTTGCTCCTCAGCCTCTGTGCTGAGGATACCAGAGGACGGAATAATAGGGAACTTCCCCTGGCAGAAATCGCTTCGACAAGCAGAAGAAACGCTCATTTTGGAGACAGTGACCTTCCTCTCCGAGCTTAAACACCACAGCTCATCCTCCTATAACACACTCCAAATTCCAGTCTCACCCAGCTCTCCTCCCTTTCCAAGGACACGCTCAATGCTGTTTAAGAGTCTCAATCCCTCCAACCCAAGAACGACAATCCCTCGAGACCCAGATTATAATGCTCTGAACTTTCCCTTCACTTTTTTTTTCCAAGCACAAGAGAGGCCGCCGAGGGACAACTGGGCTTGGTAAGGGAAGGAAGAGGGACTCGAGCCCCGCCGATGACCCCAGGAAAACCCTTCGTGCAGCTTCCCCTCGGGAAAGGGAGCGACTCCCGGGCTGAGGGGGCCGGGAGCCCCGCGGCCCCTCACGGCGGCCGCACGCGCGCTGACCCCCCACCATCGGCCTCCCGCGCGCACGCGCGCTGCGCGCGGCCCCCCTCCCATTGCCGCCCCCTCCTCTACCCCCCCCGCTGCCGCCCCCTCGCCCGCCCTGGGCACTCACCATGTACCAAGTGCCCAGAATGATGGTCCCGGTGCGCACATGGCAGCAGCCGCAGCAGCGGGTGCTATAGAAGCGGTCCCGGCTTCGCTTGAACGTCATGGCGGCTGCACAACCCTCCAGCCGCCGGACCCGCCACCCGCCCTCTCCAGGCAATTCCCGAGGCCCGGGGCCGTAAAAGCCCCGCGCGCGCGTCACCGCAAGCGCTAGCCTATCAGAAGCCGAGAGCGGGTCGCGGGGCGGGCCCTCGTTGCCGTGGCAACGGGTGATTGGCGGCGCCACGGACCAATCGCACTGGCCTTCGGAGCACCGCCCCGCCCTCACCTGCGGCGGCGGGGCCGCACCTGGGGCGGGGGCGGGGTTGTGCCCGCCATGTTGTGTCCTGCACACTGCTCCCTCAGTGCCTCGGGCGGTGCTTCTGTCCCACAGAACCGGCGGGAACGTGGCCGGTCCTGTTCGCCCGGGGCACGGGGAGCAGCTCGTCCTGCTCCCCCCGTGCTTCACCGGTGTAGGCTGACCGGTCCGAGGAGCCGGGGCTTGGCCACCGTTCAGGCAGCAAAACCAGAGGGGTGAATCTCTTGTCCAGTGACAGCGCAGTTTCCCTCTGTTCTCTGCACTGGTGAGAGGCACCTCGAGTGCTGTGTCCACTTTGGGGCCCTTCACAACAAGAAAGACGTTGAGGTGCTGGAGAGTGTCCAGAGAAGGGCAATGGAGCTGGGGAAGGGTCTGGAGAGTAAGTCCTATGAGCGGCTGAGCTGTGAGTGTTCAGTCTGGGGAAGAGGACGCTCGGGGGTGACCTTATTGACCTGTACAGCTCTCTGAAAGGAGGATGCAGCCGGGTGGGGGTCGGTCTCTTCTCCCAGGCAACAAGTGATAGATGAGATGAGAGGACACGGCCTCAGACTGTGCCACGGGAGGTTTAGGCTGGACGTCAGGTGGAAATTACTCATAGAAGGAGTCATTAGATATTGGAATGGTCTGCCCTGGGAGGTGGTGGAGTCACCATCCCTTGGAGGTGTTTAAGGAAAGACTGGTGCTTAGTGCCGTGGTTTAGTTGATGTGGAGGTTTTCAGTCATGGGTTGAACTCGATGCTCTCAGAGATCTTTTCCAACCTAATTGATTCTGTGATTGTGGGGAGTACCATTCCTAAACCACAACACCTGAGGAGAGCGTGAAGCTTTGAGGTACTGCTGACATCCCCCAGCTTTTGCTGAAATTCAGCCAGTGCTGTAGAAGGTTTTTCACATGAACCCTTTTGCTGTTCTTTTGCATTAATCCCTTGGATTAAATAATACTATTAAGATTATACTAAGAGGATATGTCATAGCAGGGAAAACAGAAGAGGTGAAATTCAGTCCACAGAGGTGCTTTACTTTGTTGGTGAGTCCAAGGCCCTGTTGGTGAGTGGGTAATGGGAATGCTTCATTAGTCCTACTGAAACCTGCAGGTGCTGCGTGTGTTAATGCACATATTAATTAGAAATAACATGTATAAATCCAAGTGCTGCCTTTGTATATGTATGTGCTAAGAGGTTTCCCCACCACTTAGACACACAGTCTCCTGTTTCCACATGGAGCAGGACCTATAAACTTCCCCAGACCCAAGAGTTTCTGCAGACCTGACTGTTGATACAGAAATGCACTGTTTATTTTACTCTTTTATGTGCAGCTGCAAGTATGTCCTTCTTGGCAGTGTACAATCAATTTGAGACACTCACAAAACCGTAAATATTTGCCATGCACATATACAGCAAGATATATGTCAGTATTAATACTGAACTTTTTCACCCTGAACAATGAGAAGGTAATGATAGTGACTGTGCTTGTCCTTTTGATATATTCCAGATCCTACAATTAACACATTTTATTGTTTTAGCTGCTTAGTCTATTTTTAAACATGAACTGTTGCTGAGTTGTTTGAAATTATTTACTTAAAGGCTTTAAAACTGACCTTTTTATTTTAAATCCCCAGTGTACTGTAATTGGTGTTTTCTTCCTTAGGGCATATTTCATTTTTGAATAAACATGTTCTAAGTGCTGCTAAGACTGCGTAATGATCCTATTATAAACTATTGTTTGTTTCTCTAGTGCTCCTAATGCTCAACCCTATGCACAGATGCCTAATTATCAACACTCTGATTTAGTGTAGCGAAAAGGGACTAATTTTAATCAATATACATGCATCCATGTAAATAAATAGAGAAAGAATGTGCATTTTGTTGTAATCAGTCATTTAAAAAATCGGTTTTCTCACAGATGGCACATTGGGAAGCCTAAGCCAACTGTTCCTGCTGCATGCATGCCTGAATTGATTACACTGTTCTGTGGAGCTCAGAGACTCTCCCTCCTGTTGGCCTGTCCCTGTGTGAAACAGGAATTCACAGTACTAGAATGAGTCAGAATTGAAAGCCAGAGCCGTTCCCTCGAGCTTGGACATCAATTTGGAAACACCTAGATCCCTCTCAGTCCAAACGGTTTGTGAGGGCAAGTGTTCCAGCTAAGATCTTGCAGTTGGACGCTTTGCCTTTGCTTGGATCACTGGCAGCTCTCATGTCAGGCTCAGATCTTCAGGGCTATTTTCATGAGATGAAAGAAATCTTAATTAAGTGTTCATATCTTTGTCAGCCAGACTCAGAATAAAAATTGATGCGATTCCCTTGAGCTTCACTGCTTGTTATACCCTGCAGACAACAAAGATACGGGAAAGAATAATGTGAATCTCATTTAACATCACAAAGAAGCTTTCCACAGCAGGATAGACTGATGTGGAACTATTGAATGGGCATAAAAAAAACCTCTTTACTTTCTCTTCCTTTCAAAAAAAAATAAAGGAAAAAAGGATTAAAAGAGTATTTTGAGAATTATTGCATTGTTTCCTGTACTTGAGGGAAGAGAGAATAGGTTAATGATTTTAGTCCTACCCTCCGTGAAAGGTTCCAGTTCTTCCATGCCACAAGCAGCCCAGATGACCTCAGGCAAGACACTTCCTTCTAGCTGATCCTTAATTCTCTCTTTTTCACTAGTTCAAAGAGGATTTGTGAGGCTAAATATATTAAAAACTGAAGGGCTCAACTTACAGCCATGACAGCCAGAGCAGAATCTCTGAGAGACAGAGAGTACTGGTAATAAAACTTTTCCTCAAACAAATAGCGAAAAGACCTTGGCATGCAGGACCAAATTCCCACAACAGTAAGAGCAGGAAGCAGATCTGCAAGTCCAAAGCAGCTGCAAAAGAATGATTTGGATTCCTTTACTAGCATGACACTTAACTCCTTCCTCTCAGCAGGTAGGGAGGGTATGATATCACGATGTTCCTCATTAGCCAAACTAGTTAGGGCTTTCAAAACCCATGTCTAGACAGGAGATTTGCACTTCTGTCTTGAGAGGGCCTGGTAATGTTTTACCAAATACAAATTAGTTTTGAATAATCATATTTTAATAAGGTGAGAGCAGAACAGCTAGGATCAGGTAAATGAGAGATCAAGCTGCATTCTCCTTCAACTTCTTCCAAAAATTTAAGTTCAACACTCACAAGATGTCAAAACCATGGAGCCCTAAGCCTGTTTTCTCCTGATTTTTGTAATACCACAGTTTTCCCCTTTGGTGCCGTTCTTCAGTCTATCCTTGGCTCAGAGATGCTGGTTTAACGCTGTCTCTGTTACTTCTCTGCATGCACTGAACTATTGCCAGGATGGAAATATTTTGAAAGTTGAGATACGGTTCTGCTTCAGCATTTTCTCTGTTATGTGAAGGGAAACCTACAGACCCTGAGCTGATAATCGTATGTAACCTCCTCAGGCAGAGTTCATATCAGTTTATAATGAAAACATTGTGCTGGTTGGGGTTGAGAAACTGAGGCACAGTGAGATGAGCTGATTTGACCAACACCATAGAGGTTAATCAAAGTTCTAGAACATCCAGCAGTTCCCTTGAGCATTGGGTTCTTTGCTGGGGAGTAGAAGGTGCAGTGCAGGACATGATGGAGCTCCTCCATCCCAAATGGAAGGCACTTAACTATGAGGGCAGTAACAAGTTACTCCTATATTTTTTTCCTATAACTGTATGCATATGTCTGCTACTCTGCATTTTAAAATTAAAAAAAGAAATAAAATGAGGAAAGATAGCTTCTCAAACTCAGTTGTTTTCCACACTGAACAACCATTTTTAAATTAAAAAAGCAAAGGTTTTCAACATCACAGAGAAAGTAATATCTTTACATAGATATTGCAATATGTAACACCGTATCCCATCAACAGAATTTAGAAAAATCCATAGAACTGTTGGAGAAGGTGTGAAAAATACCCAGGCTAAGACCATGGATTGACTTTTTGCTTCCTTAAAAAAGATAAGAATGTACTAAAGTAAAAGCAAAGCATTAGCATATCAAAGAGGGAAAAAAACCTCCAATAAATTACTCAGGGGGAAACTTTCCTCTTTGTGACTCACACAGTGAAATCCTAGGTATCCTGAAGTCAGCATTAACAAATTTTACCAGCCTTTTTCTCCAAGATGGATTCTGCTGGAAGAAAACAGTCTAATTTGGAGGGTCAGTGGTTTCTTGTAAAAGAGGTAAGAAAGTAATGTGTCCCAATGACTTTTGTGGTTATTGAATTTTACTCTTGTTTACTGAATTAATCAACATCACTTTGGGATTCATAATGTAGTGTTCCAAGCTTCTGTACTATTTGTTCTAGTCGGTTGCTGTTAACAGTATGAATTATCTTTTACCACCAAGAGTCAGTTTAACTCAGTTCCAAACCTTGTAAACTAAAGGTTAGAAAATCAGCTAAAATATGACAACGCGATGTAAAATTTCTCAAAGCACAAGACTGTATTTCTCAGTAACTTACTCTCTGCTCAGATTTTCTGAATCTTGAACACTGAATAAAAATCTTCGTCTTCATTTAGAGAATCAAAATCTGATAAACTAAAAGAGCTGTGGCTCATTTATAGCAGCCTCCACACAGCTGAGGAGCTATGAAAATGTCTAAAAATAACACAATCTAGAATGGTACTTGCAATTTCAGATATTTCAGTGCTTTCATGTGAGCTGGAAAGGGGAAGTGTCCTGTGCTCACCAACAGCTTCCCCCTTCCAGCCCTCAGCCCAGCCTTGCTCTTCCATGAATCTTGGCAGGGTGAATAGGAGGAGCCCAAGGACCTGAACGATACCTGTTCAGGGAAGCAGGATGTTCCCTCCTGGTAGTTGTTATTTCCATGCACAGTGACTCTTTGACTGCCAAATGAGTTCAATAGAGTCGTTTATGACATGTCTCTGTAACATACAATACACAGAACCAAAGGAAAATTGTGCGTGCAAAGAGAAATTAGAATTTGGTAGAAAATAAGGTTTGCCAAGTTTCTGGTATTCTGATGGGACGATACAGGAATCAATTTATGTCACAGTGGCCTTTTCCCCAAAAGACACAGGGAGTTTGTTTCTGAGATCAATGCATTACCGTGTCCATTCAGTATGGGAGGACCTTCTCTTTGCGGATGGGAACATCTGTGGGGCTGAGTGTCAGGGATGGCACATAGTGCAAAGTTCAATTTGCCTTGAAAATACTCCTGGGTCTGATTCAGTACAATCACAGAAGAAGGACAAGGTTTCCTCTATTTGATCTTTGTAGCCCATGACTTAAAACCCTTTCTCCTCCCAACGTCCAACTACCCTTAGAAAATATTCCATGTTATGGAGCAGGCGTGTGAGCATAGTAAATAAATTATATATATTCCTGCCAGACAATTAGCATGTGTACCTGCTCCTTGGCTTGTGCAGATATGTTGGCTGTGCCACCAATTTGCAGATTGGGTGGAACCTTGATAATTATAGACAATTACAATGGTCAGTTATGGAAAATTATGGACCAGCAGGCCAAATTCCTCTCTGCGGTTGCCCCACTTAACCCTGGCAGTGTTACACCACGGTTGCAGTGTGAAGCAAAGCTTCAGCCTCTGCATCTGCATCCTGCTGTCTGCCTGCGAGTAAACACAGCTTTGTAGGTCAGCAGTTCATCACTTACAGCATCAACCACATCTTAATGTCGGCGATGCTAAGGATGCACCGCATATGGATATGGCCCTATTATTAGGGATACAGGCAATCTTCCACCTTCAAACAGCTGCCCACAAGAAAGAGCATCATTACAAAAATAGAGCAGACTGAGTTTAAGAGAAAGTGGAAACTTAAAGCCATATATTTCATTTGCTGCTGGAACCATTTATTGTTTGCTCCTAACCAGATTATAGGTGTTTCCCAGCCACACTTCTGTCCACCTCCCATACCATGGCTGCACCAGAGGTTTGATTTCCAGCTGCTGGGCCATTTGCAGGCACAAGGAGAGCTTTTGGCTACTCCTAAGGCATGTGCCTCTCAAGCAGCTAATAAATTGCTTAGGGAAAAGGCAGGGGGAGCCAGCTGGACCTGGCCCATGAACTGGAAATTAAACTACACTGGGCTGATGAATGACCAGAGAGATGCTACTCTCAATTGACTCTTCTAAGGGATAACATTCAGCTTTAACTCAAGCAATACTTCAGCTTGTTGGAGGGATGTTGACTCTTCCATCTGAGGATTTACCCTAGATTCCAGCCAGCAAAGATCAGAGACTAGGAGAATGCGCACATCTAGCACATTCATTTAACCCTCCTGGAGGCAGAATCAGCAGAGCAGGCTGGTAATCTGCACAGCCTCACAGAGGAAAAGGGGAAACATGTTTTAAGAGCACAGAAACCAGGGAGTAACCTGAACATGATGAAGGGGCGTTTCATAAGGAACAAAAAGCATCTGCGAAGGCTATTTGATAAGCTGGCTGATGGTCTTTCAGCTTCTGAGGACTGGGAAGAGAAAGAATGGAAGTTGACAGCAGTTGCTGAGCACTTTGGTTGTTTTTTTTAAACTCAGTTCTCTCACTTTAGAACACTTTCTCATCCCTGGGGGCAAATGCAGCAGCGGCACTGGGAAGTGTAGTGCAGGAAAGCTCCTGGCACTACCACAGACCACTCCCGGGCAGATGGAGCTCGTTAGCCCTGTAAGGCAATCCATCTACGTCCTGAGGACCTCGCTGCCACCGTCCAAGCGTGCTTGGCCCCGGCAGATGAACCTCAGGATTAAAGGGTGGGCTCAGTTCCGCGCACACTGTGTCTCACCTAAAAAATCCAATGCGCAGGCTGGAAGGTGGAAAGACCTTC